CAAGCCTGTTGTAACCTGTTGTGACATGTAGGTGTATATTGAAAAGTAGAGCTAAAAATTTTAACCATGACATTCATTATCAGTGACCTAAAATTAGTTGGAAATTGCTACGCTGGTCTCGGAAGCATTTTGGTTGTTGACCAGTGAATTGTCACTTATCATATATAATGATTCCAGTAGCTTAACCCCCCCCCCCTCCCATCACATTTGTTAGCTTTGTTCATACAAGTACTAATTACTGCATAAAGGAATTTTTTTTTTGACACTTTTGAAATGGGCACAGCATACTTGTAGACAATACTTAAATCAGAAGCATAAATGAGTCAAGAGATTAGTAGTGTTCCTAGGATATGCAATCTAGTAAGCCACACAAACAGCCAGTTCCTGAATGCAGTTTACCACTGTTTAAAGGAGCAGGAGGCTTCTTGTTAAAAGCCAATTCCATGAAAGAAGTCAAACCTTTGGAACTTTTTTTTACAATTTTGATTCCTATAGTTATATGTATGTGCATGCACACCTGCATGAAAGTAACATCAACATTAATTCTCGGTGAATTAGTGTTTTGTGGCCTACCCAAGGATACTGCAGGAATCTTTGAACATGTCAGGGTCAGTGAATAACCCCTGCTGTGACTTACAAGGTGCCCTAAGTCACAAAAGGGAGGTAAGAGCCACAATTTAATAAGACAACTTGAAAGTGATATTAGTGGCAGGAGAGGGAGGCAGCAGGCCTAGTGTGGTATAGGCAGTGTTGCCACATGTCCCCAAGAAAGAATGAAGTGCAATTCAGTGTGTCACCAATGAAAGAAGCACAGTAAATAAATAAATTTATATTCTTCTTTCTTTCAATGTACCAGCTGTATCCCACTGAGGTGGGGTGGCCCAAAAGGAAAAACGAAAGTTTTGCCTTTTAAATTTAGTAATGTATACAGGAGAAGGGGTTACTAGCCCCTTGCTCCCGGCATTTTAGTCGCCTCTTACGACACGCATGGCTTACAGAGGAAGAATTCTGTTCTACTTCCCCATGGAGATAAGAGGAAATAGACAAGAACAAGAACTAGAAAGAAAATAGAAGAAAACCCAGAGGGGTATGTATATATATGCTTGTACATGTATGTGTAGTGTGACCTAAGTGTAAGTAGAAATAGCAAGACGTACCTGAAATCTTGCATGTTTATGAAACAGAAAAAAAGGACACCAGCAACCCTACCATCATGTAAAACAATTCCAGGCTTTCATTTTACACTCACTTGGCAGGACGGTAGTACCTCCCTGGGTGGTTGCTGTCTACCAACCTACTACCTATGAAATAAATTTAATTTATACACCTACCATCCGACTTACGACCACTCGACTTACGACCGTGTTTTTTATGCCAAATTTCTGGGAAATAAACATCTATTTGTGTTGTACACAGTGTTTATCCTAAACCTTACAGTATAAAATACAGTACTTACAACATAAAAAATAAAGTAAAACATGAAATACCAAAATAAAACAAAATAGTCATTACAAAAATGTTTTATTGATATTCAGTAGTAAAGTTCGACTTACGACCATTTCGACTTACGACTGAACTCGGTTGTAAGTCGGATGGTAGGTGTATTTATTTATTTATTAAGAAACACACGAGGGCATCGGCACAGCGAGTTGGACATTCAAAGAGCTACTACACAAGTATTCACCTGTGTGTGGTTGGGGAGTTTGGTATGAATTCTAGGTACCGCCACCTGTAAGTGAATGGTCTACTCTTAGTGTGAACAAAGGATAGGCTAATAAGTACAGTGGAACCTGTTTTCATATGCCCTAGTTTTCATACGATTCAGTGTTTAACTACTTTTTTCGTCAATTTTGTCCCAGTTTTCGTACATCTGCTCAGTTTTCGTACAGTTAAAAATGGTCTGTACCAAACTCGTCTGCCTGCTCATTTCCTGGAATTGAGCACCCACACTAAGCATCCCTTGTGTTCATGACTCGGTCTGCCTTTTTTTCTTGAGTGAGCATCACCCAGCTTGTTCATCCGAAACATTTCGTAATAATCCATTGTTTTTTGTGCTTGTTGTGAGAGTTAGTGGACAACCACAGGGAAGAGCTAACCACTGGGGCTCTTGTGGCCTGGTGGTTAAAGCTCTCGCTTCACAAGGCGAGGGCCTGGGTTCGATTCCCAGCCTGGGAATCGAACCCAGGCCCTCGCCGTGTGGGATGATGAACATTTGAGAGGATAACAAGATATTGAGAGTAAGTATATATTGATTATAATGTTTTAACCAAGTTCAATATTGAGCAAATGCACATATAGTTTTAACATATTTATGATGGGTGAGGATAGATTAAGGAGATAAGGTGTTTTCTAACTGTAGTTTTAAAATTGCCAGCTCAGCCAGTGGTTCTGGATATTTTTAGAAGAGTTTTCCAGATTTTGGGTCCTTTTATGTACATAGTTTTTGAAAAGATTTAGCCTGATAAGGGGAATGTCAGAGATTTTTGTGCCTGTATTGTGTCCATGGGTCCTATTGCAACTGTCAAGAGTGCTTCTGGTCGGGATTTATGTTAGAATTGATTGTTCTGTAAATGTAGGTGGCAGAGTAGTACGAGTGAATGTTTTGTATAGTGAGTAGGTTTAGTTCTTTGAAAAGTGGGGGTGTTTTTTTTCTAGCTGTGGATTTTGATCATTTGCACTACAGCTTTTTGTTGGGTTATTATTAACTTTAGGTGATTCGCCGTTGTGGAACCCCAGGCACAGATAGCATAGTTGAGGTAGGGGTAGATCAATGAGTGGTATAGTGTAGTGCTGTTTGTGGTACATAGTAACTTATCTTTGAGAGGATGCTAACTGTTTTAAATACTTTTTGTTATGTGTTGGATATGGGTGTTTAATTTCAGGTTGCTGTCAAGGTGTAGACCCAGGAATTTTCCCTCATTATGTTTAGCAATAAGGATGTTGTTAAGCATAATGTTTCGTTGGACCCATTTCTTGAGCTACAAATGTCTGAAAATGCTGCAGCTAGACATGTCTGGAGGCGCTGGAGGTACAGATATCTATAGATGTCGCTGGAGCTGAATAATATGTCTATAGACGTTACAAGTTAAGATAGTTTTGTCTGTTCATTGTATGTTTGACAGTCATCCAGGTTGCTACTTTTGCAAGCTCTTCATTAACAAGTGTTGAGTGAGACTAGATTAGGGTTATATGCTCTTGTCTGTTTCATACAAAACAGCATCACTTTCTGCATCAAGTGAGCAGTTCCAGCTGCTCACTTGATGCAGCTGGAACTGCCACAGTTATAAGAACTGATAAATAATTGATTGACTTTCAACCCTCAAAAGCTTCAGGGTTTATCATCATTGTACAGTGTTCATATATGCAGTCTTGAGACCTTGACTGAGAGAAAACGTGTGAACCAAAAAATATAAATTAAGCATTTACTCTTAACTTCATGAAAAGGTAACTACCACTGTGAATAATAATAATGAAAGTAGCATGATAAATGTTTGTACAAAGGAGTATAACAATTGGGTGTACATACCAAAAGCCCCTTTATATGCAGAGCATTTCGGGAAAACTACAGACTAAGTTAAGATTAATAAGGCAATAACAGTGCAGTAATTGTACATATGGCCATTGGGTGGTCATGCTAACACCCAGATTGTGAAGCTATTAATGCCTTGTGGATACGACTAGGAAGACTGGAGAGTTTGTTGCCATCCATAAATTCAAAATCTTAAAACTGAGATGAATTAATATACAAACTTGTAATACTGTGTATTTTTATTAATGGTAAAAGGTGGTTTAAGAGGTGCTACAAGTGAGCATCTTTGCTGTTACTGCAAAGATGACAGATATCCTAAGACCACATTATTGCAGAATATTAATGAAGCATAGTTTTCACTTGTATAAATTGTAATTGTTACAAAAGATGACTTATACTACTTGGTCTCAGTGTAATTACTCTGGCAACACTATCAGCTATCAAAGAGTAACAAAAAATAATGAATTGCTTCTGATTAAGGGAGTACATTTTGAGTATGTCTACAATTTTTAAAATGTATATGGTGGTTTTTTCCACATTTGTGAACGTGGTTGTAGTGCCCTGTAATTTTCTTGAGCAAGGGCTCTTTAATACTAAAAATGCCTTGAAAATGATGTACGTTTTGTATTTCTGCTTAGAGTACAGTCAGCTCTTAAGAGCTTAAGAAACTTCTCCTATTTAGTGCAATTTTTCATAAATGCCTTTTAAAAAATGCATCAAAAATTGAATAGCATGTATTATGAAGACCTTTCTATTCCAAAAATTAAAAATATCCTTTTCAGTCCAGGGCTTCAGTCCCTAGACCTCAGGTGATGAGAGGAGTGACTCTTACCCCTGGGCTACAGCTGTTGGTATCCTTTCTATGCAGTATTCGCTAATGATGAAAAATTGCATTAGAGAAGCTTTATAAAAGCTGTGCTACTTGCAGATATCTGGATTGATTAGTTTGACAATAAATATAGTGTATGTAGTATAATTTTATGGGTCTTCATTTCTCATGTTTTAATGAACATCAGTACATAATGTTTGCCATTGAGCTTGATAATACACAAGTACTTTCAGATGTTTTGTTTCCATACAGAATCTCGTCTATATGGATGCAGTAAGCCGCCCAGAAAATTATTTACTCTGAAAATTTGTGATCAAATATCGCGCCTGCAGAAACATTTGTGCAATATTGTTCACAACTGCTGAGTCAGGTGATTGATTTATCTGGCAGTATTGTGGTGGACTTAACATTTTTCTTGCTCATTCTGCCCCCCTCTGCATGCCATTGTATGGAGGTTAATGCAGCATGAAGTGTTTATTTAACTTCTACCAAGCCAGATCTAACATAACTGCTTGATGTATTACCACTGTGTGCATGATGGTTTTAAGTTTGTTTGCAGAGTTGAGCCTTTTTTTTTTTTTCCTCTTAAATGAAATATCAAACATTTCTGAAAATTGGTACTAATTCTTTTTAAATTTCCAGAACATTTCACTTATGGATTTGAAGTGTGTGAGGAACCCCCACGGCAGGGAACAATGATGGAAGCAGTCACAGATGTTGGCAGTTTAATTGGTAGCTACTATAGAAGAATGTGCATAGACTAGTGCTAGCAGCCATGCACTAGTGATGTCTAGTGCTATGAACAAGATTGCCACAGTGGTGGTAAACTGTGATGTAATAACTGATCGGTACAGTATAACAGACTTAGCATTTGTATTATGTGGGAGGGTGGCAATATTAATTGTATATTCTCAGGGAAAGATATTGCCTTGGTTAAAAATAAAACCTTGGTGGATAAACACTGTTACAAGTTAAGAAATTGGAAATACGTAAGTAACTGTTTTGTTGTGGTGCTCATAACTTGTAAAGTAACAAGTGGACACTGGTCTGTCCTTGCAAGTGCCAAGCTGCTCATCTTATTGCACAAGTTTTTCTTGCACATGATGCCCAATGGCAATTCATTGGCAAAATTTGCTGCAGACCCAGAGAATAGTTAAGTCATCACATCTTGAATAACCCCTACATTCCTATAGGATTTGTGAATGTAAATTCATTGGATTAGTTGCTATTGGCATTATTTATTATTGAAGTTAAGTTGTATAATTAATGGGTGCAAGTTTATACTTTATGCTTGACGAAGTTGATTAACTTGGCCTACTCTATTGACAAGACCATTTCAGGTGTCAGTGTACCGCCCTGTGTCCAATGTACAAACCTGGAAAGTTTAAATGAAAATGTTTGTACAATAATTTTACTAAATTATGGTTAATATCTTCCACTTTAGATTCTTGTGCTGGTAATATTCGGTACGTCAGTAGAATGTAGTAGGTCCATTACAATTTGATACAGAGCATATTTTATTAAATTTGCCTAATAAAGGGTATATTTAAAAGATGTAGATTTCTGTTGAACCCTGAGTAAAATTATCCTCAAAAAGCTGTTGTAATACAAAGTAGGCAGAGATTAGAATAATTTTAATACAGCTTAGATTTCCTTTGAATGCCCACAAAACTTTTAATTTCTAGTTGTAAATTATTGGGTATTAACATGACACACAAAATACTATTAAATCCTGCTAATTGTTGATCCAGAACTAATCTATCTACAGTGTCAAAATACTGCAGACCATAATTAACCCTTTGAGGGTTTTGGTCGTACTAGTACGTCTTACGCGTAGGGGTTTTTGACGTACTAGTACTCATAAATTCTAGCGGCCTCAAATCTAGTGGGAGAAAGCTGGTAGGCCTTCATATGAAAGAATGGGTCTATGTGGTCAGTGTGCACAGTCTAAAAAAAATCCTGCAGCACACAGTGCATAATGAGAAAAAAAAAACTTTGACCATTTTTTTTTTAATAAATCAGCGACTTTGCAGTGTATTTTCGTATGGTTTTTATTGTTGTATTCTAGTTTTCTTGGTCTCATTTTATAGAATGGAAGACATATTACAGAAATTGAGGTGATTTTGACTGGTTTTACAATGAAAAGTGCCTTGAAATTGAGCTCAAAGTAGCAGAAGTGTTCGATTTTTACCAAACTTCAAAAGTAAACAAATCGTGCCAAGCGTGCAATACACGTCAACTGGTGAGTCTAATATTCTTTCACAAGTGCACCAATAATATTTATACCATTTTTTACACTAATGCAGTAGTCTGCATAACAGTAAATCTTATATTTTTTGTGAAAATAAAAATTCAAAGTGGAAAGCAAAAGAATATAAGAGGGGCCTTGAGACGTGACTAATGACTAGAGGAAATGTCATTTTAGTGCCAGGAATGTCTTTCTTGTTTATTCTGGACCTTATTCGGAAATTGGCATCTTTTGAAATTTGTGTGAAATTGGCAAAATTGCTAAATTCTGACCACTGTACTGGATAGTTGAATTTCATAAATGGGTGGTTTCTTGCACCCATTCGATAGAAAAAATGGAGTTCTAGCGAAATATTCATGTTTTTTGTCGACTAGTACAGTGAAATTGGCCGAAAATGGGGCTCAAAGTGGGCAAAATCGCCGATGCGTAAACATCGCCGAGACCGCTAACTTTGCGAGAGCATAATTCCGTAAGTTTTCTATCAAATTTCAAACTTTTGGTGTCTTTATGATCGGGAAAAGATTCTCTATCTTTTCATAAGAGAAAATAATTTTTTTTTTTTTTTTAAATTTGGCCAACCCTGAGAACGAGTTTCGGAGATGGCCTGTCGACCCTCAAAGGGTTAAAAGCACTGTAAACCTTGCCAAAACATCTCTTTTTATAAAATGGTTGAATAACATTTCCAGATGACTAGGAAAACATGGTGAACATTAATCCTACAAGAATCATTAAATACTAAAATCTTTTTCATAATGCCTAGATAAATTGCAAAAAAATGACTATGTAAAAAAAAAAAAAAAAAAAAAAAAAAAAGGGGGGGGGGGGGAGGAGGGACTTTGGTGGTACTACAATTTACTTTAAAGTGCCATGGAAAATTATGAGTACACATTTCCACTAAGTACTAATCCTTTTACAACTAAATGAAATGCTGAATTCCACACATTAACCTAAAAAATTTTGGTGACTGACTTGATCATAAACTACAGTAAAACATTTAAATCTTATGATTGCAAGACACATGAGCCATAGTCAGCCAGTTGACTGTTCCAGTTTACTAAACATGCACCCTGAATAAATTATGGATATGGATTGTGGAAAGTCAAAAATACTTTGAATAATTTTACTTTGGAATTAAGATTTATGTAATAAGAGTGAATTGGTCATGACTATAGCAAGTTGACAGTGTAAATTTGACAGTGTTAGAAACTGATATGTTTACAAAGTGCTGATTAAGTAAATTGTTCTGGCTCATCTGGTTAGCTGGATGAGTCCTAGCGGAGGGAAGTAATGCCTTCACTTTGAAGGAAAGGTGGAAATGTATTGTTTGGAGGGTCCTACACACTGAGGTGTCAGCACACTTCTGGCAAGACAGCAATTGAATGAATAATGGGCAAATTGTTTCTTCTGTTTTGGGTCACCCTGCCTCTGTGGGAGACAGCTGGTGTGTTAAGAAAAAAAGTGTAAGGTATAATTGCATATTTAAATGGAGCGGTCATGACTCTCCAAATTGCTTCCCTCATGATCCCACACAATGGGATAACTTCAGGAGTGCCTTGATGCTTGTGAAGGGCTCTTGATCCAAGAAATTAGAGCTACCCTCCCATTCCTTGTTTTAAACCTAATTACTTCCCATTGCCTGGTTAAGACCCATAGAAGGCTTCTGATTACATGAAATAATACATTCACTGTCCCTTTTCTCTCTCGTGTGGCACTAGCCCAAACTCATTCTTTAACCCTTTCAGTGGCCGTCACATAGAAATAAATCATTAGGCCAGGGTCCCTCGCAAAGTTTTGTCATGAGCTTGGTTCTGATAAGCTGTGAGCAGTAAATTTTGGCCTAGATGTGAGAGAATGGGTCTGTGTGGTGAGTGTGCACAGTATAAAAAAAAAAAAAAAAAAAAAAAAAAAAAATGCCCCCACATAGTGTATGATGGGAAAAGTCAAACTGACTGTGATTTCTTGGTGTCAGTTGATAGATTGGAAGACACTACTGAAATAGAAGTGATTTTAGATTGGTTCAGGACCATAATTAGCTTGAAATCGAGCTCAGAGTAGCAGAAATGTTTGATTTTTGCCATTAAACAGACCCCCAGTCTGGTTTATGGGTTAAAAAAAGGAAAAAATATTTCTTTGCAAAGGTTACAATGTGTAATTACAATTTTGATTTAACCCTTAAACTGTCCAAACGTAGACCCACGTTTTATTTTTATAGCCTCCAAATTTGGCATGATTGGCCTGAGATGCCTGGTCAGTATGTATAGAATGGGTCTTAACACTCCGTTTGCTCAGTATTAAAAAAATCTGGGACCACTTAGTACCTTGCGGGAGCACCAGTTCAATTGAGCGCCAGCTAGAGCAAATAGCATGGCAAACACCAGGGGATTCACTGATGTCGTGTCGTATTAACACTCCCCTTTTAAGAGAAAAGTGATGGATGTGGCCACAAGTGGTTGAGGAAATATCAAAAACCTCGATAATAACCCATGTGTAATGTTTGTGCGATATACTTTCATTTTTGATACCTCTAGTAGTGTCATCCTGCCCTAGTGTCATAACCTATGCCCTAAGTAAAGAGAAACGATTCTGGTACATGTGTAATACGTATTTGGCTGGCTGGGTGGCTGACTGACTTTGGCTGTCTCTGTATCTGTCTGTGTTTATATATATCTATCACTGTCTCTCACATGTACACACAAGTACAGTTATTATACATAGTGTAACTTACCTAGGATAACCCAAAAATTCCAGGCAAATTGCTATACAGTGCTTGTAGATATGACATAATAAGCATGACTGGCAAGTAATACGCATTTTCACGAATCAGACGTGATGACTGCATTGTATGTAATACCTGTTGGTTTACAAGCCGCTCCCTGAGACTGAGATAAGCAGACGCACAAACATGGGCAGACAGAAAGGCCAAGATACACAGGCAGACCAAGAAACACAGGCAAACAGACTTGAGACACAGAAAGACCGAGACACACGGGCAGACAGAAAGACCGAGACGTGCGCACACACAGGCAGACAGACCGAGATGCGCACACAGGCACAGAAAGACAGATAAGCAGAGCTAAACAGACAGACAAATACAGATACAGACATGCATGTTTATGTGTAACAGTGAAAACAAAGCCAGGGTTCCCTGCAGAAGTGCATGATCATCAAGAGTCACTCCATTCCTACACTGTCAGCAGTTTAGTGACACTCGTCGTAACACCATGCTTGGTTATGTGGTTATGAGAAAGGTGGGGTAGTGGTCTGTAGTGTTGTCTGTGATTATACCTGTTTGTAGTGGAGATATCGTGTTGGTCCAGATATGGTCAAGTAATGAGGCACTTGTCCTGGAGATTCTTGTTGGTTTAGTTATAGAAGGTAGTAGAAAGCAGTTATAATTCAGTTAATGGGGCACCATAAATCATAACTAGTCATTCCTGGTTGTATTTTATTGTCCCAAGAAATAAAGTAAATCTTCTATTTTTGTGTGATTAACCATTTCAGTGTTGCGACCTCTGCTTGCAAACTTGCTCCCGGGGTTAAAGTGTAAAAAAAAAAAAAAATAATTATGAAATGATGATCTTTTTCCCAAGATAACGAAACCAAAAGTACGAAATTTGATGGAAAACTTGTGGAATCGAGCTCTTTTGAAGGTAGTGGTCTTGGCAATATTTATGCATCGGCAATTTTGCCCAATTTACACTATTTTGGCCAATTCCATTGTTCCAATCAACCAAATTCGTAGCTATTTCACTAGTATTCCTCCTATTCTATCGAATGAGTACAAGAAACCGTGCATTTACATATTTCAACTATTCAATAAAGTGATCAGAGATGGGTAATTTGGCCAATTTCACACAATTAAACAATTGCCAATTTGAAAATAAGGTCCAAAATAAACAGTAGACTTTCCCGGCATTAAATAAACATTTCCTCTACTACTCAGTCACATTTTGAGGCCCCTCTTATATTATTACGCTTGCTTTTCATTTTGAAGTTTTTATTCACAAAAAATAGAAAATTTATGCAGACTGCTGCATTATTGTAATTGTATAAATGAGGTCAGTGTGTTCCTAAATATGCATTAGACTGGCCAGTTGGATGTGTATTAGACAAGCGATATCATTTGTGTACTCTGGAATGTCTGCAAAAAATCAAACATTTTCACTACTTTGAGCTCAACTTCAAGCTACTTTGTCTTGAAACTAATCAAAATCATCTCTATTTCTGTAATATATCTTCCATTCTATCAAATGAGACCAAGAAACCTAGAATAGAGCCATAAAAACCCACACGAAAATACACTGCAAAGTCGCTGTTTTAAACCACAAACACGGTTGCAGTTTTTTTGCCTTGTGCACTGCATGCAGCAGGTTTTTTTTTATATAGTGCACACTTACATACATACATACTCATTCTCTCATCTCTAAACTCAGATTTACTGCTCATAGCTTATCTGAAAGAGCTGAGCTCATGGCATCATACTATGGGACAGACACCAACTTCAAAGCCCTCATACAACAGGACCAACACTGAAAAGGTTAAGAATTCAGAATGGAAGAGTGTAATATAGGAGAGGCCTAGGGACATGTTTAATGAACAGAGAAAGTGGTGTTTTAATGACAGGGGTACAAGTTTAGCACTTTGTTTTTATTACGATAATTTAGTGGCAGGAAAGTTTACATAGTTTTATTTTGGAATCTGTTTTTGAATTGTGTATAAATGTGCCAAATTACTGAATTCTGGGCACTTTATGAGGTAGTTGCAATAGTTGAATGGGTGGTGTCTTGTCCTCAGTTAATAGAAGGGAAGGCATACTAGTGAAATAGCCAAGAATTAGATCAAATTGAGCAACATAATTAATTTAAAATAGGACTCGGCAGGCGATCACCAATGCATAAATTGCGCTGAGACTGCTGAATTTGCACATACTTAGTTCCATAAGTTTTCCATCAAATTTTTTACTCTTGGTGCCAATACCTTAAGAAAAATTTCTATCAATATTAGATTTTTTTTAAAGTGGGCAGAGCAATATTAACCCGTAAACGGTCCAAACGTATATATACGTTCACTACAGTACTGCCCCAACTTTTTTGAGAAAAAAAACATTGTTGTTTTTTAATAGGAAAAAAGAGCATATGGTACCCAGGCATCCCCAATTATTTTAATATGGTGCACAGTGAGTGCTCACACCCATTCTCACATGTCTAGGCGACTCAGGCTTATCGTGGCAATGTTAAATGTAGGACACACAAAACGTATATATACGTTTGGGGCACTAGCGGTAAAAACGTATATATACGTTTGGACCGTTTACGGGGGATCTGGACAGTGAAAGGGTTATCTAATTTTTTTATCTACACTTAAATAGTAAAATATGTTCACCAGGCAAATCCCTCGAGGGAGGTTCCTTGATGCTTGTACAGGGCTCATGCTCAAAGGAAATGGACCTGCCTTTCCCTTGGATCAAACCTGGTTGCTTCCCATTCTCCCATGTGTTTTATGACCCCAAGCCACTTGAGTGCTTCCCCCTAAACATAATCATCTCCAGGTAACTTGCCACATACTAAATTATTTCCTTAAATTCCACTATCCATCAAGGGAGGTAATTTGACAAGTTCTTGATCCAAGGAATTTGAGCTACCATCCTCTTCTGATCAGGCTGGCTTAGTGTGATAGTGTTTGCTGATTTTATCTTCAATATTTTTTTTTTTTTTTTCAAATAGCATGAATGATTATCCCGGTCAGTGCTGTTCCAATTTCAAGCTGCCTGCCTCAGATCAGACCCAGTTGCCTTTCCATCCCAGGCATTGTTTGCAACCCCCCCTCCCCCCCAACTGCTTGTATTTGCACTTCCCCATGAATATAATTTTTTCCATCTTATTCATTGTCACCAGTCATGTTATTCACCTGACAAACTGCTGCCCTTAAACACCAGATATGGTACATGTTCTTACACTTTAGCACTTCAATCTTTAATTCCACAATTTTAACTTGGGTTGCTATAAGGAGACTACAAAATTGCAATGAAAATATTTTATTTAAATATACTTTTGGAGATCTATATATTTTAATTTGCATATAAAACATTTAATACAAAAAATATGGCATACAGTGGTACCTTGAATTTCGTCCGAAATTCGTTCCAGAAGGCTGTTCGAGTGCCATTACCAAACGAATTTGTTCCCATAAGGAATAATGTAAATTAGATTAGTCCGTTTCAGACCCCCAAAAATGCACTTACAAAAATACACTTACATAATTGTTTGAGTTGGGAGCTGTTCAAAATTTGAGGTACCACTGTAGTACTTCTAATGTACACATTACTATAAATTACAACATTAACTATTATTAATAGTCTTAATACATTTAAATTATACGTGCTTACTGGCAAGTCAAGTGCTTGCCAAAACTGACTGAGGGAATGGAGAAGAAACTATTAAGAAGTTACCATAAAGCAGTAGTTCCCTGAGGGTGTGGCATGCTACATGGTGCAGCGAGAGAAGATGGCAAGTGTGGGTTTCTATATGTGAATGTTTAGATGTTTTTGATTATCCTTGAATCTTCCTGCCACACTTGCCATCCTCTCTTGCCACACTGCACCCTTTGGGAACCACTGCCATAAAATATTGTTAAATATTTGCTCTGCTCTAGTCTCGGAGTGGCTGTATGTTAAAAGCAGAGTTCTTCGGGAATCAGTCCCTGTATGGGTAATTCAGTACTGAACTTAATAAATGATATTGAAAAGGTGGGTAGAATCTAAAATTGCAAAATATGCTGATGACAAAAATGGTGGGGAGGGGTTAATATGCATGACTAGGTAGGCTCAGCACTTGTCATTACTTGCAGCAAGAGCGAAGATAATCACTTCATTTTAAACCTGTAAATCTTAAGACAAATTTTTGTGAATGTAAAGATGCTAATAAATTATATAAAGATCTTGCTGTGTTGCCTGGATTTTCTATATTATAACAATGCTTCCATTTGTATTTTGTTGAAAGTTCTGACCCTTTTGGGTTTAGTGCTTACTTTGATTATAATTTGCTGAAAATCTTGAATATATCACAGGAACAGGTCTCTTATTTGTATTTAAATATGAAAATATTAAATCTGTAATAAGTCCATGACCAATTATCTGATGGTCAAACCAGTAAAATCTATCTTGCTTTTGTTGGCAAGGCTGATGCTGTATACAGAGGAAAAAAACAAAGGTTAGATTATACTTAATATGTATAAAAAGAAAATATTACACTGTCAGATGTAATATTTTCCTATTTATCACATCAGAAATTATAGAGATAAGCTGAAGTTCATGCAGATTCTGGCATGTTTTGATACTACTAGAATAGTTAAAAGGCAAATTTTCAGGTAGTGTAAAAATTAACTACCTAATAAATCTTGGTGTAATATTTTTTTAATAAAGAGCATACAGGTTTTAATTGTGTACTTTAACTTGAACAATTAATGCAATTTATTAAAAATCTATGATACTGTAATCTTCTTTACACTAAATCATATTGCTACTTCAAATACTAATTTTAAGGTGTTGCAATTCTGTATCATTCAAACTTTTATTGGGTATAAACACCTTTAAAATAATGAATTCACCTTTTTAATATTTAAAATTTTAAACTATAATACATAGCCAGTGAGGGGCTCTTGATCCAAGAATTGACTATGAATACCTCCCATACCCCCAGGAGCCATATGACCCCCATAGGTTTAGGGCCCCCCTCCCCCAGTAAATGTAATGTGTGATAAATACTCCAGCAGACTTATCTTAATAGATGTTTTTAACATTCTGTAAACCTGAAATATTTATCAGAGGTAGAGTACCAACAACACAGTATTTCATAGTTAGGGGCATCTCATTGCCATATATATCTTAGGTAAATACACAATTGGAACATTTGGATACTTCATTTGTGCATTTTTCTGGCTGGGAGCTTTGCCAAAGCTTGAAAGCTCTGTGAGTGAAATGCAGCCTAAATAAAATATCCAAACACTGCCAATGAATTTGTTTACCTAAGTTGGTTGTAAGTATATACATACCATTCGTACTGTACTATTATGGTTAAGAACAGTTCTAACACTATGAAAAAACTATGGCTACTGAATTCTCTTTAGTGTTAAGCTGGTATATTATTATTGTCTTTGCATTAGATATGGGGTCAATTGTCACAGTGCTTTTGCATTCAATTAAAATTTGTTACATTTCAGACAGTATTTGTTACTTTATTAGTATATGCTAATATTTTTTTTTACATTGTAAAGAAATAGTTGTATTAAGGAAGTGAAAAATAAATTGTTGCAAGCACCCAGTTTTCACACTTGGTTAAAAAAAAAAAATGTTAGCTCAAGTGTTGTATGTCTTATTAGGCAATTCTTACCTTTTATGGGGAAGCACTAATCCCATTGGGGTCATACAGTGCCTGGGGAATGGGAGGCAATCAGGTTTTAATTAAAGGACAAGCAGCACAGCTTCAATTCCTTGGATCTAAAATCCTTCACCATTGTCCAAAAAACAAACAAAAAGGCAATTCAAAATCCAGTCTTTAGGTAAAATGGAACACAACTGAACATGTACCATTCAAAAATTTTTATTACATCCTTTAAATCCAGTGTCTGGTTACCGAAATAACTGAAATGCACAATAAAACTAGTGATAAGGTGATAATTATATATTTGTAGTATATACAATCTTATTTGTACATATTTTACAATTTCCTGTGCACTAGCATTTAAAAAAAAAATGCATAAAATAATGAACGCTATAAAATTATAAGCTTATTTTTAAGAGTATTTCAGAGGGACAACTGTACAGTGATATTCTTGACATGAACATTTTTTCCCTTGAAAAGGTAAAAATGGCATGTTAGCATGTATGATCTAGTCTGTATGTCCCTTTTGAGTTTAGCATTTATCTTTATAATAAAGGGCTAGTCACTCGTGTAAAGGCATTAGAGAGGAGCATTTTCAGAATTACAATATTCTATTCCATCTCCTTGAAGGGAGATAGCGGGAGTTAAAATGATCCTCTTTAGTGCTGTTTGTGAATGTAAGTGATCCAAAATGCAATGAAACTCCAGGGATAAATTTATGCAAATCTAGAATGTAACAGCATGCTTTGTGCTCTTGATGTACTGGTAATTATGGTACTTATGACCCCTGTGGGTTTAGTACTTACCTGTGATTATAATTGTATTATGGTATGCATTTGTTAAACAGTATATGTACTATATAATTCAAGTGCTCATTACTGATGAATTATGGAGATGTGTTTAGCCTTCAAAGAACTGTACAAATGGGTAATGGCTAGCGGGTTCTAGGCCTCACCTCTTATCAGAAAACACACTTTTCCTGGAGGGAAACACTTTTATTAATCATGACAAAAAGACAATAAAAATTTATAATTATGCCATTATTTTATTTAACTAGATTGAACTGTAATTCTAATATCCATAAATATGTACATTTTAGGAATGTGTATTTTTCTTAAATGACAAAATACCTAGTTACCATACTTAATTTTTTATACTATATAATTAAGGAAGTACACTGATAACACTTTATGGGTTGATTATAATATAGTCCCCATCCCTTTATCCAAAACTCTTGGGGCCAGCAGTGTTTTGAATTTCAGAATGTTCACAATGTCATCATCACTATTATTCTCGTATTTATTTGTATTTAACACCATTTCTTTAAGGGGTCCCTGGACTGTGGAGTGCATGGAGTAAAAAAAAATTTTTCATTTTTATCTTGCTGAAAAATAGCTGAGCTTTCTGGCAACACCCTGGTATAATAATCATTGTTATATGATGTTCCTACAAGGAATTATGGCCATTTATAACATGTATGGTGATGCCACCTGGTGTAGCATGCATGCTGACATACCATGAATTTTACATTTTTTTTATTAATTTATATTCTTTAATATAATTCATGATTTGACATCATTGTAAAATGGGCAGTGCTAATAGAGAACCAATCAGGAACCTTTCTAGGAGGAATTGCTGTCACAGCATAAATTATGTTGGGCAACAGAGTAGCCAACAAAATGTTCTACTCTTATGCTAATATCAATAATAAGGCTTATTTACCTATCACAATTGATCTATTATGACATAAAGCAAAATATCCATAGCATAGAAATATAAAAAATACACTAGAATACTATGCAGCATAATATTAAGGCCTGCTTAGGTGGGACAAGGGACACCACCGACTAAGGCTTCTCTTCCCTCATCACTCTTTTGAGAGAAAACTGATCTAGCCAAGGGTAAACTGTAATACACTCGTAGCTTACGAAGACGTTAAAAAAAAAAAATTTGGGAATAAAAAATACGTAATTCCCAGAGTACTTGGGTATGCGCGCGTTTTGGCTATTATCTCGGAAGTAAGTTATTTACCTATTTTGTGGTGACCCATCATTAATAATGGACAAACAATGTCAGCGAACAGCAGATGCACATGTGAACACTACAAGCGCTGAGACACAACTGATGCCTGTCACTCTGGCTGTCGGTGACAAACTCCACGATAAAATTTCGGTTTTAGGAACTTTTTGAATTCGAAATAAAGGGATATGGACTGTATTAGTAACATCTGCACCTAATTTTATGAGCATTATTTTTTTTTTTTTTTTTTTTTTTTTTTTTTTTGCACATAACATTAGGTACACAAATGGTATACTGAGGTGAAGTCTTGAATGTACCACAGCCTTTGTATATAGAAAAGTTTTCTCAAGCCAGTTTTAACCTTAAGATTTACTTAAATATAATCTGGTTAATTTGTCTTTGACAAAGATAATAAAAATATTTCCTTAATATCATACACTAATAAAGAACTTTATTACTCTAGCCTTGCTTAAATAATTAGACCAAAATTTCAAACTTATTTCTTCACTATTTTATCCTTTCAATCAGGATTAACAAACTTGTACCTGGGAATGATTTTCTTTGCAACCTGCAGTAAATATAGGTCCAAAGATATGCATGGTACAGATATATACATTAATTTAATACTGATTAGTATTACAGGTAATCTCATTCATAAGGAATTATTCCCTCCACAATGCCAAATGTGATTAATATAACTTCAGCATATCATACTATAGCAGAGGCCACACGAGGAGAATCGTGTGTCTGTCTTGCTGCCAGCTCTTTCCTGAGTTCATCCACACGCTTTTCCAGTTGACCCTTGACGTGAAGGAGCTCTTTAAAACGAATGTGGACAGGCTCCTGCCAAAGTTCGTAAAACTTCATTACTATTAATGTTCTTCCAAAACAGGTTAAAATTTACACTGATCTACTTGAGTAACAGTCACATTTCTAATGCCACAGTAATAATATTACAGGGTATTTATTTTTTAACACATTGGATTATGTGGAGTAAAATAAGGGTCAGATGTGAAAAGTGGGTCATAATAAGTGTATACATCTGGAGAAGAGTGTAGAGGAGAGAGCGAGATTTTGGGAGATGTTAGGCGAGTGTGTAGGAACCCTTGAGCCAAATGAGAGTAATTGTGGTAGGGGACCTAAATGCTAAAGTAGAAGCATTTAGAGAGGGTGTGGTAGGTAAGTTTGGGGTGCCAGGTGTAAATGATAATGGGGAGCATTTGATTGGACTTTGTAGAGAAAGGGGTTTGGTTATACGTAACACATATTTTAAGAAAGAGGATAAATGTGTATACAAGTTATGATGTAGGGCAAAATGACAGTAGTTTGTTAGACTATGTATTAGCAGATAAAAGACTGTTTGGTAGACTTCAGGATGTACATGTTTATAGAGGGGCCACAGATATATCAGATCACTTTTTAGTTGTAGCTACAGTGAGTAGATGGAATGCAAGTAAGAAAGAAGTAAAGGTTTATAAACTAAAGGAGGAGGCAGTTAGGGTACGATATAAACAACTGTTGAAGGACAGATGGGCTAGAAGATGTATGGGGCAAGTTTAATAATACAGTGTTAGTGTTCAGCAGAAGTTTGTGGTTACAGGAGGGAAGAAGAGTGATTGGTGGAATGATGTAGAGAGAGTAGCAAGGGAGAAAAAGTTAGCATGAGAGGTTTTTACAAAGTAGAAGTGATGCAACGAAGTAGTATATGGAAAGAGTGACAAGGCAATGTAAAAAGAGAGCAAATGAGAGAGTGGGCGAGATGTTATTAACAAATTTTGTTGAAAATAAAAAGTTTTGGAGTGAAGATTAATAAGTTGAGAGTTAGAGGTATCGGGAAGATGGAGGGAATATTTTGAGGAATTGTTAAATGTTGATGAAGATAGGGAAGCTGTGATTTTGTGTATAGGGCAAGGAGGAATAACATCTTGGAGTGAGGAAGCACCAGTTGCGAGTGTGGAGGAAGTGTGTGGGGCAGCGAGCTGAAGGAATGGGGGTAAAGCAACTGGGATAAAGATAGAAATGTTAAAAGCAGGTGGGGATATAGTTTTGAAGTGGTTAGTATTTTTATTTAATAAATGTATGCTAAAGTGGGTAAAAATGTTATAGAGGGTGTAGTAGGTAAATTTGGGATGCCAGGGGTAAATGTAAATGGGGAGCCTTTAATTGAGCTATGTGTAGAAAGAAATTTGGTAATAAGTAATACATATTTTATGAAAGAGGATAAATAAATATACAAGGTATGATGTAGCACGTAATGAAAGTAGTTTGTTAGATTATGTATTGGTGGATAAAAGGTTGATGGGTAGGCTCCAGGATGTACAGGTTTATAGAGGGGCAACTGATATATCGGATCATTATTTAGTTGTAGCTACAGTTAGAGTAAGAGGTAGATGGGAAAAGAGGAAGGTGGCAACAACAAGTAAGAGGGAGGTGAAAGTGTATAAACTAAGGGAGGAGGAAGTTCGGGCGAGATATAAGCGACTATTAGCAGAAAGGTGGGCTAGTGCAAAGATGAGTAGTGGGGGGGTTGAAGAGCATTGGAATAGTTTTAAAAATGCAGTATTAGAATGTGGGGCAGAAGTTTGTGGTTATAGGAGGGTGGGGGCAGGAGGAAAGAGGAGTGATTGGTGGAATGAAGTAAAGGGTGTGATAAGAGAAAAAGGTAGCTTACGAGAGGTTTTTACAAAGCAGAAGTATTATAAGAAGAGCAGAGTATATGGAGAGTAAAAGAAACGTGGAGAGAGTGCAAAAGGAGAGCAGATGTAAGAGTGGGAGAAGCACTGTCAAGAAATTTTAATGAAAAGAAAAAATTTTGGAGCGAGTTAAACAAGTTAAGAAAGCCTAGGGAAAGTATGGATTTGTCAGTTAAAAACAGAGTAGGGGAGTTAGATGGGGAGAGGGAGGTATTAGGTAGATGGCGAGAATATTTTGAGGAACTTTTAAATGTTGAGGAAGAAATGGAGGCGGTAATTTCATGCACTGGCCAGGGAGGTATACCATCTTTTAGGAGTGAAGAAGAGCAGAATGTAAGAGTGGTGGAGGTACGTGAGGCATTACGTAGAATGAAAAGGGGTAAAGCAGCTGGAACTGATGGGATCATGACAGAAATGTTAAAAGCAGGGGGGGATATAGTGTTGGAGTGGTTGGTACTTTTGTTTAATAAATGGATGAAAGAGGGGAAGGTACCTAGGGATTGGCAGAGAGCATGTATAGTCCCTTTATATAAAGGGAAAGGGGACAAAAGAGATTATAAAAATTATAGAGGAATAAGTTTACTGAGTATACCAGGAAAAGTATACGGTAGGGTTATAATTGAAAGAATTAGAGGCAAGACAAAATGTAGGATTGCGGATGAGCAGGGAGGCTTCAGAGTGGGTAGGGGATGTGTAGATCAAGTGTTTACATTGAAGCATATATGTGAACAGTATTTAGATAAAGGTAGGGAAGTTTTTATTGCATTTATGGATTTAGAAAAGGCATATGATAGAGTGGATAGAGGAGCAATGTGGCAGATGTTGCAAGTTTATGGAATAGGTGGTAAGTTACTAAATGCTGTAAAGAGCTTTTATGAGGATAGTGAGGCTCAGGTTAGGGTGTGTAGAAGAGAGGGAGAATACTTCCCGGTAAAAGTAGGTCTTAGACAGGGATGTGTAATGTCACCATAGTTGTTTAATATATTTATAGATGGGGTTGTAAAGAAGTAAATGCTAGGGTGTTTGGGAGAGGGGTGGGATTAAATTATGGGGAATCAAATTCAAAATGGGAATTGACAGTTACTTTTTGCTGATGATACTGTGCTTATGGGAGATTCTAAAGAAAAATTGCAAAGGTTAGTGGATGAGTTTGAGAATGTGAGTAAAGGTAGAAAGTTGAAAGTGAACATAGAAAAGAGTAAGGTGATGAGGGTATCAAATGATTTAGATAAAGAAAAATTGGATATCAAATTGGGGAGTAGTAGTATGGAAGAAGTGAATGTTTTCAGATACTTGGGAGTTGATGTGTCGGCGGATGGATTTATGAAGGATGAGGTTAATCATAGAATTGATGAGGGAAAAAAGGTGAGTGGTGTGTTGAGGTATATGTGGAGTCAAAAAACGTTATCTATGGAGGCAAAGAAGGGAATGTATGAAAGTATAGTAGTACCAACACTCTATGGATGTGAAGCTTGGGTGGTAAATGCAGCAGCGAGGAGACGGTTCGAGGCAGTGGAGATGTCCTGTCTAAGGGCAATGTGTGGTGTAAATATTATGCAGAAAATTTGGAGTGTGGAAATTAGGAGAAGATGTGGAGTTAATAAAAGCATTAGTCAGAGGGCAGAAGAGGGGTTGTTGAGGTGGTTTGGTCATTTAGAGAGAATGGATCAAAGTAGAATGACATGGAAAGCATATAAATCTATAGGGGAAGGAAGGAGGGGTAGGGGTCGTCCTCGAAAGGGTTGGAAAGAGGGGTTAAAGGAGATTTTGTGGGCTAGGGGCTTGGACTTCCAGCAAGCATGCATGAGCGTGTTAGGAGTGAATGGAGGCGAATGATACTTGGGACCTGACGATCTGTTGGAGTGTGAGCAGGGTAATATTTAGTGAAGGGATTCAGGGAAACCGGTTATGTTCATATAGTTGGACTTGAGTCCTGGAAATGGGAAGTACAATGCCTGCACTTTAAAGGAGGGGTTTGGGATAGTGGCAGTTTGGAGGGATATGTTGTGTATCTTTATACGTATATGCTTCTAAGCTGTTGTATTCTGAGCACCTCTGCAAAAGCAGTGATAATGTGTGAGTGTGGTGAAAGTGTTGAATGATGATGAAAGTATTTTCTTTTTGGGGATTTTCTTTCTTTTTTGGGTCACCCTGCCTCGGTGGGAGACGGCCGACTTGTTGAAAAAAAAAAAAAAAAAAAAGTATGGAAGAGGGTTGGGTACCTAGGGACTGGCGGAGAGTATGCATAGTTCCTTTATATAAAGGCAAAGGGGACAAAAGAAAGTAAAAATTATAGGGGAATAAGTCTGTTGAGTATGCCTGGTAAAGTGTATTATAGTTATTATTGACAGCAGGATAGCAGATGAACAAGGAGGCTTTAGGAAAGGTAGGGAGTGTGTTGACCAAGTGTTCGCAGTGAAACACATAGGTGAACAGTATTTAGATAAAGGTAAAGAGGTTTTTGTGGCATTTATGGATTTGGAAAAGGCATATGATAGGGTGGATAGGGGGGGGGGGGGCAACATGGCAGATGTTGCAAATGTATGGAATAGGTGGTTTCTGTAAGTGATGAAAAGTTTTACGAGGATAGTGAGCCTCAGGTTAGAGTATGTAGGCGAGAGGGGAATTATTTCCCAGTAAAAGTAGGCCTTAGACAGAGATGTGTGATGTCACCATGGTTGTTCAATATATTTAATGATGGAGTAGAAGTGAAAGCTCAGGTGTTGGCAAAAGGTGTGGGGTTGAAAGATAATGAATTTAACACAAAGTGGGAGTTGTCACAGTTGCTCTTTGCTGATGACACTGTGCTTTTGGGAGATTTTGAAAAGAAGTTGCAGTGGTTGGTTGATGAGTTTGGTAGGGTATGTAAAAGAAGGAAGTTAAAAGTGAATATATGAAAAAGTAAGGTGATGAGGATAACAAAATTAGGTAACGGAAGATTGGAGGGAGAGAGTATGGAGGAGGCGCATGTGTTCAGATATTTGGAAGTGGATGGGTCTATGAAGGATGAGGTGAATCATAGAATTGAGGGGAAAAAAGTGAGTGATGCACTGAGGAGTCTGTGGAAATGAAGAATTTTATCCATGAAAGCAAAGAGGGGAATGTATGAGAGTATAGTTATACCAATGCTCTTGTATGGGTGTGAGGCATGGGCTGTGAATGTTGCAACAAGGAGAAGGTTGGAGGCAGTGAAGATGCCATGTCTGAGGGCAATATGTGGCGTGAATATAATGTAGAGAATCCATAGTCTGGAGATTAGGAGGAGGTGTGGGATTACCGAAACTATTATCCAGAGGGCTGAGGAGGGGTTTTTGAGATGGTTTGGACATGCAGAGAGGGTGGAACGAAATAGAATAACTTCGAGAGCATGTAAATCTGTAGTGGAGGGAAGGCGGGGTAGGGGTCGGCCTAGGAAAGGTTGGAGGGAGGGGGCAAAGGAGGTTTTGTGTGCGAGGGGCTTGGACTTCCAGTGAGCGTATTAGACAGGAGCAAATGGAGACAAATGGTTTTTAGGACTTGACGTGCTGTTGGAGTGTAAGCAAGGTAACATTTATGAAGGGATTCAGGAAAACCGGCAGGCTGGACTCGAGTCCTGGAGATGGGAAGTACAGTGTCTGCGCTCTGAAGGAGGGGTGTTAATGTTGTACTTTTATAATTGTAGTGTAGGCATGCCTCTGGCAAGACAGTGATGGAGTGAATGATGAAAGTTTTTCTTTTTCGGGTCACCCTGCCTTGGTGGGAAACGGCCAATGTGTTAATAAAAAAGAAAAAAACACTGGCTGTCTCCCACCAAGGCAGGGCAGCCCGATAAAGAAAAACTTTCATCATTCACTCCATCACTTGCCAGAGGCGTGCTTACACTAGTTATAAAACTGCAACTTCAGAGAAAATGTGTACTCTATATTACTGGGGGTAACCATAGAAAATTATTCCTTTCGTATGCATTCACTCAGAGCATCATTTCTTCTAAAGATGGTGTTACGTGAGAATGGGAGTGTTGCTCTTTATTTATTCTACCGTATCAAAGTGGAGACAACTTGTACATAAACCAGACACGTTCACCTGGTTTGTTTACATAACTCCATGCCTGTCTTCTCTCATGTACTCATTTTCTCTCTCTCTCTCTCTCATTTATTTGTTTTATCTCGTTTACTCGCCTCAGACCCTATATTAAGACTACAAATATTTTAAGGTAAGTAACGAGTGAACTGTATATGCATTTTATCGCTCTGTGAGTTTAATTCATGAAAATTATTTTGGGGGGTGGGGTGGCCGGGTATGGTCCCGGGGCGGCTCCCAAACATACCCACTTGTTTCTTACAAAAATATACTCTTTCCACCTACATTAAGTTTTAAAAATATTTTAGGTAAGAAGAGTGTACGTACTTGAGTTACAGTGGCCCTCGCAACGATATTAACCCGTTCTGAGGTCATCGTTAAACGAAATTTTGTTAGTTGAGTTAATTTTCCCCTAAGAAATAATGGAAATCAAATTAAACCCTTCCTGACACCCCAAGTTTGAAAAAAAAAAAAAATTTACCCCATGAAATAAATTTAATTTTTAAAACACACAAAATGAGAAGAAGCACAGTTACTGCATTACCCTTTTTTGAAAAAATCTGGTGTGATTGATGGGATGGGGGGAGGGGAGGGGGGTTGATGGTGTTAGTGTTTTAGAAAGGGGAACCCCCTTCCATAGGAATTAAGGTGGCAAGCCCTTTTCCGGGGTTTATTTCCCCTTCTTCTTTTAATGCACTAGACCAGCTTGAGTCACTGGACCTCGGGTTGCACAACATATCTGTCATAGAGGCCTGTCCCTCCCTTTCCCTTTATGACATCCTAAAGTGTTTCCCCAACATTGTCAGTGTACAGGTTGCCAACACGGCTTGCAGTAGCTGTGTCAGGGTGATTCTCATCAAAAAAGGTTTGCACTTTAAGCCACATTGCACACATTTCCTTAATCTTTGAAGTAGGAACTTCTTAAATTTTTCTTACCCCCTCCTCCGAAGCAGTTTCCTCAGGTCTGGCCTCTTGCTGTTGAAGATGATCTAGCAGCTCATCAGTGGTTAGTTCTTCATTGTCCTCCTCCACCAACTCTTCCACTTCCTCCCCACTAACCTCCAACCCCAAGGACTTCCCCCAGTGCTACAATGGATTCCTCAACGGGCATAGGATTCTCAGGGTTAGCCTCAAACCCTTCAGAACCCCTTTTGTCTACACATTTGGGGCCACAGTTTTTTCCAAGCAGAGTTCAAGGTCCTTTTATTTCACTTCCCCCCAAGCCTTACCTAAAAATGTTTACACAATTGAGGATGCTAAAGTGATCTCTCCAAAAACTCTCTTAGAGTCATTGAGTTTCTGAGGTCACTACAAAGCACCTTTCAAACATAGCTTTTGTGTACAGTTTCTTGAAGTTTGCAATGACCTGTGGTCCATGGCTGCAGAGGAGTGGTATTAGGAGGCAAAAACTTCACCTTAGTGAAGCTTATGTCCGCAGAAAGTCGCTCTGCCAAGTCTGAAGGATGACCGGGAGCATTGTCTAATACCAGGAGGCCTTAAGGTCCAATTTATTTTCCAGGAGATAATTTTTCACAGTGGGGGCAAATGCATGGTGAAACCCCAGTCATAGAAAAAGTCCCTAGTGACCATGCCTTACGTTTGCCCTCCACAGCACACAAAAATTAGCCTTGAGGAGATTGTTTTTCCCTGAACACTCTGGGAGTTTCAGAGTGATAAACCAATAAAGGCTTCACTTTGCAATCACCACTAGCATTGGCACACATCAACAGAGTAAGCCTGTCTTTCATAGGCTTATGTCCTGGAAGTGCCTTTTCTTCCTGTGTAATGTAGGTCCTGCTTGGCATTTTCTTCCAAAACAGGCCTGTTTCGTCACAATTAAACACTTGTTCAGGTTTCAGTCCTTCACTGTCTATGTACTCCTTGAATTCCTGCACATATTTTTCAGTCACTACAATTCTTAAATCTCTCAAACCAACCTTTGCTGGCCTTAAATTCACTCACATCACCACTAGTTGCTGGCATTGTTTTAATTAAATCGTCATGCAACTTCCTAGCCTTTTCACATATGATCGCTATCTGTTTTTCGTTTATCCACACCAATAACAGTCTCTCAACATCTTCTATCACTTGCGATCTCAGATTCAAAAGCATAATTGCACCTTTGGCAAGAACAGCTTCCTTGATTGCCGTTTTCTTGCCCACAATAGTAGCGATGGTTGATTGGGGTTTTGTGTACAACCTGGCCAACTCGGAGACACACACTCCACTTTCATACTTAGCAATGATCTCTTTCTTCATATCCATAGTAATTCTCACCCTTTTTTGCTGTAGGGTTGGCACTAGAAGCTTTCTTGGGGCCCATGGTGACTTATTTTGCATGTGCAATCACTACTAACGCTGTGATAATATGAAATGTTCCGATTGTATGTTTGGATGGGACCGCGGTGGCTGGCTGGCTTGTAAACACTGACACCCACGGGACAAGTGAGGCGCGCTCAGGCTACAAGTGGATGCGTCTCGAACAGAACGAATAGCGTTGGTCAGGTTTTTTAGCGCTAGTCGAGGCAAAATTTTTGCGTTAAAATGTATCGCTAGTCGAATTTAACGTTAGATGATGCCAACATTGGTCGAGGGTCCACTGTATGCGTATTTTACTTTTTTATTGTTTTTAATGCCTAGTTCTATTGCTAACTTAATATATGCTAGTGTAAACTTGTTATCTAGTATTTATATGAATTTATAAGTAAAAAAAAAAAAGGTGTTCCACTTTACGGCGATTTCCACTTTCATGACGGTAGCCTGGGACCTAACGTGCCATATAAGTGGGGCCCTACTGTATTCATTCCTGGCTTGTTTGAAATTTGGCAACTGTCTTGTTTGAATTTTTATAATGGTTTCAAGTTTTTCTTTCCTTTTTTGGGCTTTCCAGCAACAGCTAGTAAACTGGTCTAAATTTATTGCTGTCTTTGATTTATTTTAATATATTGCTTGCTTTAATTTCCATGTGTGTTACAGAACTCATCATATATTTTTTTGACATTTGTCCCCTGTTATATTTCATCTCATTTAAAATTCTCAAACTTTTTCTGAAGTCTCAATACTTTCTTTTTCTGTAGTCTAGCTTTCATGTCTGTGCTGTTCTTTTTCCTCCCCAAGTCATATTTTGCAACACATGTTATTGCAAAAAAATGATCACATTGGTGAGACTTTGACATGGAACTTAATATGTGATTGTGTACTGTAGTGTGTGCTCACTGGGTTCCTGTTTTTTTGTTCATACTTCAGAAGCTTTTATCACCTCTGTGTATTATTGCATTTACTGACATCGTGGAAGTGACAAATTTTTCTTTATAGGCGATAACTTATTTAACCTAAACTAACCTAGGCTGAAATAATGTTCATCAGTAAATTTGCTTAAAACTTTATGTTAGCAGTCAACTTACGTTTAAAGAAGATGGGTTGAATGGTTATCATATTTTCTGTTATACAAGACAATATTCCTCAAAAACTACCCAAAAAACACTCTATGTCTTATACAACTTTGTACTTGTGGTGGTAGTAGTAGAGTATTTGTATGATAATATACACTAAAGGGTTTTTCCATAAAAACTATTCCTAAAATTAGGGTAGATCAAATGTAAAGTTCACCTTATATGATGGAAAATACAGCCATTATAGGGCCACACACTCCTGCAAGTTTCAAGTCAATGTGACCTGGCATTAAAATGATATCCAGGAAAATACAGGGTTGACATACAAGGTCAACTAATAATAATAGCTAGTAACTAATTAGCCACAAAGATACTGAATATAAAATATAAGTATCTGGGAATAACTAAATATCTTACCTGCTGTCGCATTGATGGGTTCCATCTACAGTAGTATTTATCCCAAAGGCAGAGATGACGCATAGAGGTGAGAGGGAAAAGGACATGATGGCGAGTTGCTGGGTTATACAATGGATTCTCAAAATCTGATTGATTACTGAGAATCAATGACCAAAGAGAGACTGTTTTAGTCTTTACCTCCTTTTCCATTCTTTCTCGTTCACTGACAAAACAGAAATGAACAAGTAGACAATTAGCAATCATTATGATTAAACAGGAACATTTCTACAGCTGGTAATAAAATTGTTAAATAAATGGAACAGAAAGTAATATTAGTATGTATATGTGTAATTACCTAACCAATAGGAATAGCTATTCTTATGTGTTCCATTATCTCTCTAATGTTGCATTCAACCATCTGGAGATTATTCCACTGATTACCTTCAATACTCTATCTGAAAGAAAATACTTCTTATTTTTTACACCACATTTGTTTTTTTTTTTTTCTTTCAAAATTAATGTCAGCATGTTATGGGAAAGGAAACAAGATTTATGGAATCTGATACTAATGAAGTGTGGGTCAAGTAACATCAATTAAAGGAATCAGGAAAATTGGTTAGCCTGAGATCTGAAGGTGGGAAGTGTAGTGCCTGCACCTGAAGGATGGGTGGGGATGAGTGGTTCAGAAGGTCATTAGAGTTGTGATGCCTGTGCACTTTTGGAAAGAGCATTAAATAATGAGTGACAGTAAACATGTTTCCTTCCTTGGGTCACCCTGCCTTGACTCTTGGGAAATTGCCAATGTTAAAAAAAAATAAAATTATTATTATGTTGTAAAGGCTGCTGGACAAATTTAAGTGTGTGTGTCAAAGAAGCAAATTAAAAGTGAACACTGAACAAAGCAAGGTGATGAGAGTAAAAAAATAAGCGAGATGTAATTAGATCACTGCACAATCGGAGAAAGCTATCCCTGCATTGAATAAACCAAGTCACCTATACAGTGGACCCCCCAGTTAACGATATTTTTTCACTCCAGAAGTATGTTCAGGTGCCAGTACTGACCGAATTTGTTCCCATAAGAAATATTGTGAAGTAGATTAGTCCATTTCAGACCCCCAAACATACACGTACAAACGCACTTACAAAAATACACTTACATAATTGGTCGCATTCGGAGGTAATCGTTATGCGGGGGTCCACTGTATTTCAATGCATGAGAAAAGATTAATGCAGAGTGTGGCATAAGTTTATACTGTAATGTAGTTAAGTATTAATGTTGAAAATATGAAGTGAATCAAAGCTGGTATTCACAAATTATCACATGGACACTAATCCCAATTTTTTCAATAAAATTGGCAAATCATAACAAATTAATTTAAACCTTTTACTGAAAAACACCAGCTTTGAAGCCATACTATAGAAAAATTTTCCTATCAGAAGGACCAATATCATAAAAATACACCAGCAAAGTTAAGTTTGAAGCCAGAGAATTTGGAACATAAAAATTTTGTTGAAAATAAGAAAAAGTTTTGGAGTGAGATTAACAAGTTAAGGAAGCCTAGAGAACAAATGGATTTGTCAGTTAAAAATAGGAAAGGAGAGTTATTAAATGGAGAGTTAGAGGTATTGGGAAGATGGAGGGAATATTTTGAGGAATTGTTAAATGTTGATGAAGATAGGGAAGCTGTGATTTCGTGTATAGGGCAAGGAGGAATAACATCTTGTAGGAGTGAGGAAGAGCCAGTTGTGAGTGTGGGGGAAGTTCGTGAGGCAGTAGGTAAAATGAAAGGGGGTAAGGCAGCCGGGATTGATGGGATAAAGATAGAAATGTTAAAAGCAGGTGGGGATATAGTTTTGGAGTGGTTGGTGCAATTATTTAATAAATGTATGGAAGAGGGTAAGGTACCTAGGGATTGGCAGAGAGCATGCATAATTCTTTTGTATAAAGGCAAAGGGGATAAAATAGAGTGCAAAAATTATAGGGGGATAAGTGTGTTGAGTATACCTGGTAAAGCGTATGGTAGAGTTATTATTGAAAGAATTAAGAGTAAGACAGAGAATAGGATAGCAGATGAACAAGGAGGCTTTAGGAAAGGTAGGGGGTGTGTAGACCAGGTGTTTACAGTGAAACACATAAGTGAACAGTATTTAGATAAGGCTAAAGAGGTCTTTGTGGCATTTATGGATTTGAAAAAGGCGTATGACAGGGTGGATAGGGGGGCAATGTGGCAGATGTTGCAGGTTTATGGTGTAGGAGTAGGTTACTGAAAGCAGTGAAGAGTTTTTACGAGGATAGTGAGGCTCAAGTTAGAGTATGTAGGAAAGAGGGAAATTATTTCCCAGTAAAAGTAGGCCTTAGACAAGGATGTGTGATGTCACCGTGGTTGTTTAATATATTTATAGATGGGGTTGTAAGAGAAGTAAATGCGAGGGTCTTGGCAAGAGGCGTGGAGTTAAAAGATAAAGAATCACTCATAAAGTGGGAGTTGTCACAGTTGCTCTTTGCTGATGACACTGTGCTCTTGGGAGATTCTGAAGAGAAGTTGTAGAGATTGGTGGATGAATTTGGTAGGGTATGCAAAAGAAGAAAATTAAAAGTGAATACAGGAAAGAGTAAGGTTATGAGGATAACAAAAAGATTAGGTGATGAAAGATTGGATATCAGATTGGAGGGAGAGAGTATGGAGGAGGTGAATGTATTCAGATATTTGGGAGTCGACGTGTCAGCGGATGGGTCTATGAAAGATGAGGTGAATCATAGAATTGATGAGGGGAAAAGGGTGAGTGGTGCACTTAGGAGTCTGTGGAGACAAAGAACTTTGTCCTTGGAGGCAGAGAGGAGAATGTATGAGAGTATAGTTTTACCAATGCTCTTATATGGGTGTGAAGCGAGGAGAAGGCTGGAGGCAGTGGAGGTGTCATGTCTGAGGGCAATGTGTGGTGTGAATATAATGCAGAGAATTCGTAGTTTGGAAGTTAGGAGGAGGTGCGGGATTACCAAAACTGTTGTCCAGAGGGCTGAGGAAGGGTTGTTGAGGTGGTTCGGACATGTAGAGAGAATGGAGCGAAACAGAATGACTTCAAGAGTGTATCAGTCTGTAGTGGAAGGAAGGCGGGGTAGGGGTCGGCCTAGGAAAGGTTGGAGGGAGGGGTTAAAGGAGGTTTTGTGTGCGAGGGGCTTGGACTTCCAGCAGGCATGCGTGAGCATGTTTGATAGGAGTGAATGGAGACAAATGGTTTTTAATACTTGACATACTGTTGGAGTGTGAGCAAAGTAACATTTATGAAGGGGTTCAGGGAAACCGGCAGGCCGGACTTGAGTCCTGGAGATGCGAAGTACAGTGCCTGCACTCTGAAGGAGGGGTGTTAATGTTGCAGTTTAAAAACTGTAGTGTAAAGCACCCTTCTGGCAAGACAGTGATGGAGTGAATGATGGTGAAAGTTTTTCTTTTTCGGGCCACCCTGCCTTGGAGGGAATCGGCCAGTGTGATAATAAAAAAAAAAAATAATCTACAAGCACTGTATAGCACTTTGCCTGGAATTTTTGAATTATCCTAGGTAATTTACACTATGTATAATAACTGTACTTATGTGTACCTGTGAGAGAGAGAGACAGATACAGAGAGACAGCCAAAGTCAGTCAGTCAGTCAGTCGGCCAGCCTGTCGAATACGTATTACATGTTCCAAAATTGCTTCTCATTATTCAGGCCATAGGTTATAGAACATTCTGGCAGGATGACACTACCAGTGGTATCAGAAATGAAAGGATGTTGCACATATGTTGCACTTGGTTATTATCGAGGTTTTTGATATTTCCTCGACCATTTGTGGCCACATCCATCTCAAAGCCACTCTAGGTCAACATCACTTTCTTCTTAAAAGGGGAGTGTTAATACGATATGACATCAGTGAATCCCTAGTGCTATTTGCTCCAGCTGGTGCTCAACTGAACTGGTGCTCCCACAAGGTACTAAGTATAGTTCCAGATTTTTTTAATACTGCACACACCGAGTGTTAAGACCCATTCTGTACTGACCAGGCATCTCAGGCCAATCATGCCAAATCTAGAGGCAGGAAAAATAAAACGTAGATCTATGTTTGGAGTGCTAGCGGTATAAACGTAGATCTACGTTTGGACAGTTTAAGGGTTAAAAGGGGGGGTAATTTTAGTGCTTTTATTCCTTCTCTGAAGGTAAAAAGTTTGAATTCTGGGCTCCATGTTGGCTCACTGCTTTTAACTATTTCTGTTCTATCTATGTTTCTCTGGATGTGGCCACCATATTCTAGCAACACATTCTAGTTCAGGAATAACATATATTAAAAACAATTATTCAGTATTTCCATATACCTAAAATATATTTGAAAGTTATCATTAACCCTTTCAGGGTCGTGAGGCCCTCTCCTAAATTTGTTCTCAGGGTCGAAATTTTTTCGGAAAAAAAAATGATTTTTTCTTATGAAAAGATAGAGAATCTTTTCCTAATCATAATGACACCAAAAGTATGAAATGTGATGGAAAACTTACGGAATTATGCTCTCGCAATAAGCTTTGATAATTTTATTTACTCACATGCAAGTTCCACTCACATCCAATCCCTCTCACTCATATATTTATCCAACCTAAATTTGAAACTACTTAAGGTTTTAGCTTCGATAGGACCTTGGGTAGCTTTAAAAAGAGATTGGACAAATATATAAGTGGGAGGGGCTGGGTATGATTGGTGTCGTGGGTACATAATAACATAATAAAGGAGGAACACTGCTGTAGGCTTGTTGGCCCATACTTGGCAGGTCCTTCATAAATCCAACCCACTAACAGAATAAACACTACCCAAGAAATAAGTTTTGACAATTCTATTTACTCACATATCTCAGCACTTCTAGTGTTCACACGTGCATCTGCTGTTCGCTGATATTTTGTTTTAGCTTTTTATTTTGTAACCATGTTTAATTTCACTGTGAAAATGTCAAAAAGAGCTGCAGATACCCCTATGGGTAACAGTGAGAAAAAGAAAATGAAGCATCTGATGTTATAAAAAACGCAGAAAGTAGAGGTACTGCAGAAGCTTGATCGTAGTGTGTCAGTGCAGCATCTTACTGAAGAATATGGTTTTGGAACTACCACTGTTTATGATTTAAAGAAATAGAAAGACAAGTTACTGAAGTATTATAGTGACAATGATGACCAAAAACTCATGAAAAATAGGAAAACACTGTAAAGGGCAAAAAAAACGAAGATCTTGACTGTGCTAATGGAGTTATAGGAAGCTGACATCGAAGAAATGCTAAACATTGACAATGATGCGCCTGTTGTGCATTCTTTGAGTAATGGTGAAATTGCTGAAATAGTGTTAAATACAAATAAGCAACTACTGGCCTTGAACAACGTGTATTTATCAGTAAGCAAGAGATTATGGCAATTTACTCAGTTAAAGAGAGAGTGCTTAGATAGAAACCTATGTTAATAAGACAGGTGACACTTGAAGAAGTCTTTAAAAATGCCATCTGTCAATCATCTTGAGAATCATGTTCCTGGTCTATGATTATCCCATTACTTCATTTATCAATATATTACTCAATAAATAAACCATAGCAGTATTTGTAGTCTTTATTTATTCCACTTAGTGTGAGTAATCATACGTTTGATTATGGGGTGCTGCCCTAGACCCCACCTTCATTCGAAATTCAAAAAATTCTGAAATTCGAAACACTGCTGGTCCCAAAGGTTTTGGATAATGGGATATGGACCTGTATAATTGTGAGGCTACCACACCTGACTTCCTGCAATAAATACTACTCATCACTCACCCTACATTAAGACTACAAATATTTTAAGGTAAGTACTATATGTGCTTTTTACTTTTTTATTGTTTTCTTTACGCCTAGTTCTATTGTTGATTTAATATGTATATAATAGTGTAAACATTTTACCAGAAATTTATATGCATTTAAAAGTGAAAAACAGGTAATTCGCTTTATGGCAGTAGCCTGGAATCTAACCCGCTGTATAAGCAGGGCCTTCCTGTATAGTTTCAATCAGCTAAAATTTTATGTCAAGAGAATCCAAATCACACAAAATGTAAGAGTCAGGAATTTAGATGATGTTACTGTACTATACTTACCTATTATACAAAAAGGTACCAAAGAGGCAGGAATACAGATGATTCAGCAATGTGATAAGTAAATCTTCAGTAAACTGAAATGCATGTGGAAATTGTCTCATGATCTGCCACACACAGTCTACAAATTGTAGGAAGACTGGAGACCGATCTGCATCCTGGTGGCGGTCATCACCATGCCCAATGCGCTGCAAATGTCAGAGAGAGATTTAATACATTATACATATTCCTATGAAAATAAGTGGTATAAAATACCAACACAATGGAAATATAAACACTTCAGCAGTATAATGTGATCCTTTATTGACAATGTTTTGCCCACGCAGTGGGCTTTATCAGGTCGCAAACAGATCTACCTGGGTAAAAGGTATGTGAGTATTTATAGGCTGGAGTCGGGTGGAGAATGCTGGGTCAGGTGGAGAATGCTGGGTCAGGTGATGAATCCTGGAATCATCACTTATCTGTATATCCAACAACTTCAATCAGAACAATGGCTTCTATAACATAGTTGAACCCCTTGCCAAGAAACTTCATCGCTATCCAACATAAAAACAAGAATGGAGGAACATTGCAGAAGGTCTACTCATATACTTATCCAATCTCTTTTTAAAGCTGCCCAAGGTTCTAGATTCTATCGCCCTACTCAGAAGATTGTCACATGCAGCATTCTCCACCTGACTCCAGCCTATAAATACTCACATACCTTTTACCCAGGTAGATCTGTCTGTGACTTGATAAAGTCCCCTTTGTGGGCAAAAAGTTGTCAATAAAGGATCTCATTATACTGCTTAAGTGTTTATATTTCCATACATATTCCTAGGAAATACAAATTCAGATTGCCCATAATTTAAGTAAAGATCTAAAGTTACACCAGTCATTAACTCCTATGATATTTGACTTTAACTTACATCTCACAACCTAATGGACCAGGGTTTACTGCCCAGATGGAGCAAAACATATGAGTAAATCTGGTTACATCTTTGAGTTAGTCAACTGTTGTGGGCCTCATCCAGGAGCTGGTAATATACCTTAGATAAGACTGGACTTTAAAATAAGCAGACAAGGTCTTACAACCCCATCTGCAATATTTTTGGGGGATATGAAATTTTTTCTTAGGATAAGCACGTGACACTGCAGAGTACAAGCAACAAGAAATATATGCAAGATAACCAAAATGTCATAAACACTTGTAAACCCTCCTCTCAAATTCCTACTTGATAACTATAACAGAACACACAACCATAATACAAGACATAAATCACTCTTCAATATCCCTCAAGTCCATCTCTCCCTGTGCAAAAATGTTATGCACATAAAGGGTCCGAAGATCTGGAATTCATTACCAGAACACGCTAAAGGACCCCTGCCTGCAAATCTACTTAAGGCCCTACTTAGAAATTTCATCGCCCAAAATTAACCAGACAAACTGTACTTAATACCTGCCAGTTACACAAAAGCTACACAAGAAAGTACTAATGATGTCTCAACTTCAATACTGAATATTGTGCTGAAAATTGCTCAACCATATACTCATTATTTCAAAATTAGGATGTTATAATTTCATTGTTTTGATTACTAAATTGTAATATTTCATATTGTAAATTGTTTGAATTGTTCTATTGTAATACTGTAATTTTTATAAAATAATTCAAAACTGTAATTATTCTCTACTAAACTTCTCTACTAGACTTATTAAAGCCATATAGCATTACCTATTAATACTCAATTCTCTTGTACTCACTATAACTCATCTAATGACCATTTAATCTGTTATAGCCTTATTAATCTTAAGTTAATTTTAAGTTTGCCTGAATGCTCTACATACAAAGGGGCTTTTGGCATGTACACTCAACTATTATATTCCTTTGTACAACCATGTATCATATCAAAATAAATTGATTATTATTAATGTAATTCAGAGCATCCTTCCTTTCATGTTGTTTCACTTCTGTCTCAGTGTGGGGTCTTGAGTATACATGTGAGTAAACTGCCTTTCAGAAAAATGAAAATCTTGTAGTTCTTAAAGCTTATGTGGTTGTTAAAGCTATAGGTGGGTGAAATCTTATGTAACTCTCAAATATTATTATACTATGTGAAACAGTCAATGTTTGTTTATTTGTTTTCCATTGTTATTAATGGACCCCTCAAGGAAGGTTCCTTGATGTTGGTGAGGGGCTCTTGATTTAGGGAATTGGATCTGTTCTCCAGTTCTCCGAATTAAGCCTGAATGTTTTTGTGTGTGTAGTACTCAAGAAGAAGCATCAAAAATAACAAGGTACCTTTCCAGTGAACTTACAGAACACTGACCTTAACATACTATCATGTAGCTATGGAACATACACTGTTTGCAATGTGATCACCTAATTTCAAATTACAATCTGGAATCAACAAAAAGAGGACACAAATAAAAATTATCTAAGCTTAATAATTAAACAGTCAATATCAAAAGTGAATCATGAGTTTAACTCAAAACCACTTTCATATTCTGAAACTAAATTATTCTAAGAAAACAACTATTTTTCCTATACAGTATAGTGTACTTACTTGAGCAAACTTATGACCATAACTAAGCCATTCTTTTTCTATTAGAACTGCAACACCAGTTATCGTACGGTAGTAACCATCCAGCATTAGCATAGCTAGAGCTGTAAGCTAATTTAGAGAAGTCCATAAATTGGTTATAGGAAATCCAAAAGGAATCATTACCTATTTGTTAAGAAAATACATATACTACAGTATATGTATATAATTCATGTAACCATATATACATTGTAATGCATAGCAGCAAGTAAAATTTTTTACATTTCAAAATATTCAGAAGCTACAAAAAAGTCAGATTCAACATTTTAATACAAAAATTATTCAGTGTGAGGACTTCAACTGACCTGTGCAGTACGATCCCAACCATCAGAGCAATGTACAACTACACTGGTCTTGTGACTCTCTACTTTGTCAGCAATACGTAGTGCTCCGCTCAACACACAACGAATGTGGTCCAACCAATGTGTGGCTTCAAGGTTGCTTAGCCAGTGAGCATTGTCAATGTGTGGGTAACAAACCTCTGGAAATCAAAATCCTCAGAAATAGTATAATACATATTCATTTAATACTGGTTGCTTAGAATCAAATCTTTTATCTAACACTGCCACATCAGGACATTAACCCTTTCAGGGTCGAGATCCTCGCTCTCAAACTTGCCCTCAGGGTCGAAGAACTTAAAAAAAAAAAAAGAAATTATTTTATCTTAGGAAATGATAATCTTTTTCCGAAGGTAATGAAATCAAAGGTGTGAAATTTGATGGAAAACTTAAGGAATTATGCTCTCACAAAGTAAGCGGTCTTGGCAATATTTATGCATCAGCAATTTTGCCCACTTTGGCCAATTTCATTGCTCCAGTCGACCAAACTCAGAGCTATTTCGCTAGCATTTCTTCTATTCTATTGACTGAGTACAAGAAACTGCCCATTTACTATTTCGACTACCCAATAAAGTGATCAGAAATTGGTAATTTGGCCACTTTCACACAAATTTCAAGAAATGCCAATTTCAAAATAGGGTCCAGAATAAACAATGCAGACATTCCTGGCACTAAAATAAAATTTTCTCTGTTCGTCAGTCATGTCTCCAGGCCCCTCTTACATTACGCTTGCTTTCCATTTTAAATTTTTATTCACACAAAAAAATAGAAGATTTACTGTTTATGCAGACTACTGCATTACCATAAAAACTGTATACATAATGTCAACAAATTCATGAACGCATATCAGATTGGTTAGCTGGACGCATATTGGACAAGTGACACCATTTGTGTACTCTGGAATAGTAGTAAAACTTGAACATTTCTGCTATTTTGAGCTCAATTTCAAGTTACTTTCAGTCCTGAAACCAATCAAAGTCATCTCTATTTCTGTAACATATCTTCAATTCTATTAAATGAGACCAAGAAACCGAGAATACAACCATAAAAACCATACAAAAATACACCACAAAGTTGCTGTTTTACACCAAAAACACGTTTGCAGTTTTTCGTCATTATGCACTGCATGCTGCAGGATTTTTTTTTTGTATGGTGCACACTTACCACATAGATCCAATCTCTCATATCTAGGTGCAAATTTACAGCTCAGCACTTATGTGAGTGAGCTGAACTTATGCCATTGTACTACAGGACTGACACTAGCTTCAAACCCATGATACAACAAGACCGAAACTGAAAGGGTTAAATCAGTGATTTGTCTGTATTTCAAAATACAACAGTGACAAGTTCTTTGGTATCTCGTTCAACATTCCAATGTTTTCTAAAATAAGTTCTTTTATACACAGCAAAGGTTTTATAGCATACCCACTAAATGAATGCAAAAAAATATTCAGACAATGAAAACATAAAATACAAAACAGTGAAATATGAGACATCTTTCATTATTATTATCTCACAAAAATTTGATTTTTTGAAAAGAGCAACAAAATGGCTTACCTTGAAGTTTACGAAGACTCTCTCTCATCACATGGATATTGTGGATGTCGAGGAACTGGACTTCAGCATTTTGATATGCATCTTCACTTTCGTATCCACCACCCTTAGCCTTGTTGGCAACAGCGTTCACACTGAGGAAAATAAGATTTTCATCAAATCCAACAATGAGTATGAAGGATTTTAATGAAGAGAAAGAATTTACTTTAGATGACATCTTGTTCACAAGGCCACCTATGACACAGCATCCTACTTTCCTACCTTCACTGCATATGACATGGTGGCCCGTGGCCTAGTAGGCAAAGCTCTTGCTTCACATGCTGAGAGTCTGTGGTTCGAATCCCGGCAAGAGTGGAAACATTGGGTGTGTTTCCTTACACCTGTTGTACCTGTTCACCCATCAGTAAAAATGGATACCAGGGTGTTAGTCGACTGGTGTGGGTCACATCCTGGGATAAAACTGACCTAATTTGCCCGAAATGCTCTGCATAAGAAGGGGCTTTCTATATAGTAGTATGTCATTAATGTCAGCTAGGCCTGTATACCTAGTACATGTTCTTGTAGAAATAAAGATTTTTTTTTTTAACACATCAGCCATTTCTCTTCGAGGCAGGGTGACCCAAAAAGAAAGAAAAAACTTTCATCATCATTTAGCACTTTCACCATCACTCATATATAATCATTGCCTTTGCAGAGGCACTCAGATACAATAGTTTAGATGTCCCTCCAAACTACCAATATCCCAAACCCCTCCTTTAAAGTGCAGGCATTGTACTTCCCATTTTCTGGCCTCAAGTCCGGCTAACCGATTTCCCTGAATCCCTTCACAAAATATTACCCTACTCACACTCCAACGGCTTGTCAGATCCCAAAAACCATTCGTCTCCATTCCAGTAAATGTTTTTTATTTTCTGATAACTGCAACAGCTTATTTCTCTATGTCCCTTCTGTAGATACTTACTTACATCCTCCTTTACTCATATGAATACAAATATCGATCCTGATATCAACCTCTTATTGAACTGCACAAATAATCCTAACAGTAAATGCCATTACTACACTGCTGTCAGGCTAAAACTCTACTCAATGCCAGCAAGAACATTACAGTTTTCAACTATAATGTTAGATCATTGAGCAAACACTGTGATGACCTCCTTGCATTATTGATGTCTCTAAATGCTCCTATAACTTTCATTATTCTTATTGAAACCTGGCTCAAACAAGATTTGACACACACATTTACCATACCTGGTTACACAGCCATACATAACTGCAGGCTTGACCCACTAAGAGGAGGCACTGCCATCTACTACTCTGATGAACTGGAACGTATGAAATTTACTTGCACATGGAATGACAATGGTGAATATATAATACTTAAATTCACATAAAAAAAAATAACAAAAATCTATAACAGTTGGAGCAGTCTACAGATTACCACACAAATACTTAGAGTGGTAACCTTAGAAACATGATAACTGACTCCAAGTTGAATAAACACCACCTGATACTTACAGGAAACTTCAACATAAACCTCATTCAAGCCACTTATCCTCCAGTAGCTTATTTCACAAACAATATGAACAAATGCTTGCTGCTACCTTCTATAACTAAGTCAACAAGAATTTCTGAGACAAGTGCCTCATTACTTGACCATATTTGGACCAATATAATATTTCCACTACAAGCAGGTATAATCACAGACAACACTATAAACCACTTCCCCACCTCTCTCATAACCAACTTATGTGAACTACCTCAAGACTCGAGAAAGATCTCATTTCACCTTCATGATGAGCCATTGGTAAATAATTTAATATTAGCACTAGGTGACATTGATTGGCAGAGAGCACTAGCTGACAGCAATAATATTGACAAAGATGTCAAAACTGTTTTTACATAAAACACAAAACCTCTATATAACATGCACTCTCCAATCAAAATGAAGCAGATCACAGCAAAGAGACTACACAGCCCATGGGTAACAAATAGTATCCTCAAACCCATTGATAAAGAGCACCAACTTGAAAAACTGTTCAGATTAGACCTGATTACTAAAGATACACTTCAATACTCACAAAACTAATACAAAAATCAAAGCAAATGCATTCCAAAAATAGATTTATTGAAATAAAAGGTGATATGAAAAGGGCATGGCAAACCCTCCAAAATTTTGGCACTAGAAACTCTCTAGAAACAGAGAGATAAACTTAACTAAACCAGATGAAGCTCACATACAGCCTATAGACACGGCCAACAAATTTAACGTCTTCTTCTCTACTGTATGATCGAAGCGAGCAAGCAAAATTCCTAGCTCAAATGCCCAGCTGAAAGACCACCTCACTGGCAACTACCCAAATACTCTATATCTAGCTCCAACTAATTCTACTGAAGTCTCACTCATCATTAAATCCTTAAAAAACAAAGCAGGAGATCTAAATAACTTGCCACTACTCATATATAAACAAGGTGCTCCTGTGCTGTCACCCATTATTGCAACACTGTTTAACGAATCTGTTGAGCCCTCAACCTTCCCATCCATACTCAAGACAGCAAGGATTACCCCTATCCTCAAAGGAGGTGATCCAAATGATTTGAACAACTATAGACCTATATCAAACTTGCCCTTACTTTTTAAAATACAGTGGACCCCCGGTTAACGATATTTTTTCACTCCAGAAGTATGTTCAGGTGCCAGTACTGACCGAATTTGTTCCCATAAGGAATATTGTGAAGTAGATTAGTCCATTTCAGACCCCCAAACATACATGTACAAACGCACTTACATAAATACACTTACATAATTGGTCGCATTCGGAGGTGATCGTTATGCGGGGGTCCACTGTATTTGAAAAAATAATATGACTTTACTCCTACCTTATATCCAACAACATACTTAAACCCTGCCAGTTTGGGTTTAGACCAAAAAAAGTACGAATGATGCTATTATACAAATTCTTGAACTAATATATACAGCCCTTGATCAAAATGAATATCCTCTGGGGCTCTTCATTGACCTACAGAAAGCATTTGATACATTGGACCACAATCTCTTGCACCTAAAACTAAATCATTACGGCATCAGAGGACATTCCCTCGATTACCTAAAATCTTATCTTAACAATAGACACCAGTATGTACGTATATGCAAATGGAATCAACTCCACTATCCAGCCTGTAGCTGAACATTAAAATGGTATAAAATACTGACAGGTTGTTAGGTAAGACACATATGCAACAGTTAGGTATCATTATTTCGAAACGTTTCGCCTACACAGTAGGCTTCTTCAGTCGAGTACAGAAAAGTTGATAGAAGCAGAAGAATCTTGAAGACGATGTAATCAGTCCATCAAACTTGAAGTTTCGAGGTGGTCAGTCCTTCAGTCTGGAGAAGAGCATTGTTCCATAGTCTGAATTATGTCTACTCCCACTCAAACCCAGCTATACTTAGAGACACTGTAAACAATGAACTGCTAAAAATATATGCTTGGATGATGACCAACAAACCCACTCTCAACATAGACAAAACATACATTATTATTCTTATAAACCTCCACCTTGACTACTTCACATTAGTATTAAGATTAAATAAAGATTTTAATACAAGTTAACCACACTTATCTTGTCTAGATTTAAGTACTAGCTATTATGTACTAGGATTAGTCTGCCTGAAATGCCCCGGCATGATAGTGGCTTTCTTTGTACTCGGCAAACCAAAATTGTAATTACACATTTTAACCTTTTCAAAGAAATAAAATCTTTATCTTTATCTCCTATCTAACACACTCATGCACACTTGCTCGAAGTCCAAGCGCCTCCCCCCACAAAAGTCCTTTACCCCCGTTTTGAGGACGAACCCTACCCTACCTTCCTTCCCCTACAGATTTATACGCTCTCCAAGTCATTCTACTATGTTTCATTCTCTCTAAATGACCAAACCACATCAACAACCCCTCTTCAGCCCTCTAATACTTTTAGTAACTCCACACCTCTTCCTAATTTCCACACTACGAATTCTCTGCATAATATTTACACCACACATTGCCCTTAGACACGACATCTCCACTGCCTCCAACCTCCATCTCTTCTTCTTTCTCAACATCACTGGAATGTACATGTCACCAACACATGTTGGCTTGTTGCTCCAATCACCATCACTTGTTGTTCTAGTCACCAACACTTGCTGGTTTGTTGTTCTAGTCACCAACACTTGCTGACTTATTATGCCAGTCACTAACACTTGTTGGCTTGTTGTTCCAGTCACTAACACTTGTTGTCCTAGTCACCAACATTTGTTGGCAGTAAAGGAAGGCAGGGGTTTCTTATGTAACCACTGCTAAGTGTTCTAAAAATTTTAATAGTAGAGAGAATGGAAATACAAAAAATGTTCGATAAAATGGACCCCCATAAAACTGATATAGTAGAGCCCCGCTTTATGGTGTTCTGCTAATATGGTCATTTCAAATTATGACCAAAACTCTCTATATGGCTCCCCCCACCTGACTTTCTAATACGGTCACCGTGCCCCACTCGGTTTGTTTACATTCTCCGTAAGCACTACATCTTTCCATTATGTCTGGAAACTCCAAAATTTCAAGTGCTTTTAACCCTTTCGGGGTTTCGGCCATACTAGAACGGCTTAAGCGCCAGGGTTTTTGACGTACTAGTACGCATAAATTCTAGAGCCCTCAAATCTAGCAAGAGAAAGCTGGTAGGCCTACAGACGAAAGAATGGGTCTATGTGGTCAGTATGCACAGTATAAAAAAAAATCCTGCAGCACACAGTGCGTAATGGGAAAAAAAAAACTTTGACCGTGTTTTTGGTTTAACCCTTTGAGGGTCGACAGGCCCTCTCAGACTTGTTCTCAGGGTCGGCCAAATTTCAAAAAAAAAAAAAATTATTTTTTCTTATGAAAAGATAGAGAATCTTTTCCCAATCATAATGACACCAAAAGTATGAAATTTGATGGAAAACTTACGGAATTATGCTCTCGCGAAGTTAGCGGTCTCGACGAGGTTTGTGCATCGGCGATTTTGCCCACTTTGAGCCCTATTTTCGGCCAATTCCTGTGTACTAGTCGACAAAAATCATAACTATTTCTCTAGAACTCCATTTTTTCTGTTGAATGAGTAC